AGATAGATAGATAGATAGATAGATAGATAGATAGATAGATATAAACTGTTTTTTATATATATACTGTATGTGTGTGTGTGTGTGTGTGTCTATATATATATATATAGACACACACACATATATATATTGGATGGATGGATGGATGGATGGATGGATGGATGGATGGATGGATGGAGAAAGAAAGAAAGAAAGAAAGAAAGAAAGAAAGAAAGAAAGAAAGAAAGAAAGAAAGAAAGAAAGAAAGAAAGAGAAAGAAAGAAAGAAAGAAAGAAAGAAGCAAATATGTGTAGCTCAGGGTTGAACTGTGGAGTCCTTGGGGTTCTTTGAGCTTGGCTGTTTTCCTGCAAACGTTTCATTACCCTGTTTTCGTTCCTGCAAACGTTTCGTTATTCGATATATATATATATATATGTTTACATTTATATGTAAATGTCCAGAGTCACTACAGAGTCAGACGGCCTTGAAACCGAAATAATAAAATAAAATAAATAAAATAAAATAAAATAAAGCAAAACTTTAATAAATTAAAATCAGAACAGGGAACCTATCAGAGGCCAAGGGAGATGTCTAGGCAAACTGATGCCCAAAGCACCATGGAATGCATATGCTGTCCTTGAATTTCATCATCTGTATTGCCTCACAAGGCTGGATGTTTGGTGGTAACATCACTTCTCTGTTCTCAGCATCACAAAAGTGGGAACCTTATATAAGGGCACATTCCTGGCTTTTCTAACTCAGCCTATGAAGAGACACACATTTTCTTCTGATGACAAAATATCTAGCACTAATATAGCATAAAGCTGAGAATAAGCCTAAATGTAAATTGCCACCATAGTTAAATAGTGTAGGTCCTTAGGTAAAGCTGAGAGAGGCTCTTCCATTGCCACCATGAGAAGTTACTGGGCAAAATGGGGAACATCTTCAACACATTTATCCCTTACCTCAGAGGTCACCCCTGTTTCCAGTAGAGCTGCCACCACGTATGCTGTCACAGAAATCTTTCCATGAATTCCTCCCTGGAATAAAACACAGATAAAATGATTAGGCTAAGAAACCATCTTACAAATGAAAGATCTACACCTAAATCCAATCCCTTCTTTTCACATTTTCAACATTTCTCAAGAGATTCTGAACAAAAACAAAAAATGCATGAAAAAATCAATAGAACAAAGTCTAACAGTATCACTTTACCTCTTTGGATGGGAAACGTGTATCTTTATGAAGGACTGAATTTTTAGAGAATGTGTATCAACTATTGTTTCCCTAGCTGGGGGGAAATTATTTAATTTATGGACCAAAGACTGAAGAGAAATGTTATAACTTTTATCCTGAAACACTCTATTGTTGAGAACTAGAACAACAGATGAAATATATCCATAGCCAAGATAGTAAGTGTGCATTCTTGGTTTAGCAACAGCAGCAAAAGTGTGCATTTTTCAACCAAATAGTTGAAACTAGTTTCCTCCTGACTGCAAAAAAAATATTTTACGGTTTTGTATAGGCATCTTCACAGTCTGAGCATTAAACATGGTGGCTCACAGAAAGCCAGATCTACAAATAAGACTCATTAAATTTGTTCCAGTTATACCCATAAACTTACTTTTCAATGCTGCAGGCTGATCCTTCAATCTATAACAGTCCAGAACAGTGTTTTTCAAACTTGGCAAACCCAAAGTGTAGAAGCTTGTCATGGTAAAATTGCAAATCTTACCCACCCACCCCTTTGGTACCTGGATGTCCTTATTGAGTATCCTGCCCATGGCTGGAAATGAGCCATCCTCCTTCTGATGCTGGATAATCCAATCCTTGGCAGCTAAAAGCTCCTTAGGGTCAATGAAAATGAATTCCCGGGATTGAGCAAAAGATTTGAGCACAAAGGCAGTTAGCCTGGAAACACAAAGGTCATAAAGTGGCTGAGGATGATTGCCACCACACTGGCTACTCACTACTACGTGAGGCCATGTCCACCCAGCTACTGACGTCATACCCCCAACCCTGAGGAACATTTTTATTCTGCCCTACAAGTGTCCTCTCCACTACTGCCTTTCCAATGCTCCATTTTCTGTATGAGTTGACCAGCACTCCTCCAGCTGACTATGGAGAGAGTTATAAAATGGACTTTCAAGCTGTTTGTCCCCCATCAATGTTGTCCTTGCTTTGCTGCATTTGTTTTTGCACCAAACC